TACTTGTTTTACGGTACACGTTTTCGCTTTTACACGGTTTTCCAAATAAGTTTTTTTTTTGTTTTTATCGCACTCTACTAAATGCTACTGTGTTTGAACACGTGCGCTGTGTACACATCTCACGGGGAATCCCGAGCTTATGTGCTGACTTGCTGCACATGCACACTGTGTCTGTATTTCTTCGCATAAAATTAAAGTTTTATCTACGGAAAGTTGTATTTGAGTGAAAGTTTCACAGTGTCAGAAAAATTTAATTTTTTAGTTTAATGTATTGTAATTAAATAAAAAAAACAGTGTTTCCGTAATATATTACATATTTTAACCTGTCAATGCATTTTATTTTTATTTCTGTGTACACCTAAAAATATTGAAAAAAATCACAACTGTTAAATAGCAAAATTATGCATTTTCTGCAAGCTTTTCGATTTACACGGTTTTGACTTGAAAATTTTAAATTTTCGATTTACACGTTTTTCTCAGGAACGTATCTACCGTGTAAATCGGGGGTTAGGTGTATAGTATTCTTTCCAGAATCCAGAAATAAAAACAAATTTTATTTACAAAAAAATATATATATACATCGAGTCCATAGACGTCTATGTAAATAAAACACGCGGCTTGCGTCTGACCGGGTAACATTTGACAAAGGTTAAGTTTAACTTGCACTTAGATATAACTGCAGTTAAGTATTCAATGCTTAAACCTAATGATAGTATTCAACTGTACACATTAACATTAGTAGTTATCGCTAAAACTGTCATGTTTTAGTTAATTCCTCAATTAAAATGCCCTTTTAAGGCTCGCTCGGTTAATTGGAATCGCTGTTATTTAAGTTAATTTAACATATTTCATATATGTGATGTTGTTTTGGTAAAATTATAATTATAAAAGTTATTTGTAATACGAAACTTCACTCATCTCAATTAATATTAACGGATTTATATATTTATTTATTTATTAATTAGTTAATATATGTGTACATGGCGGACTTAATGCTAAAAGAATTCTCTCACAGTCAACCGTAGGGAAGTGTCAGAATACTCGAATGCGGTACTAGTAATTATTGATATACAAACTAAAATTACATATATAAACGACAAATGCATATAAATAACACATATACTTACACATATATGGCATATACTATAATATATTATATACGAAATTGATAAAAATATAACGTACTTACTGCTCGGATTAAATAAAAAGTGAGCATGAACGTTTCTTTTTTAAAGACGGTTTAGTCGGTAGTCTCTTAATGGTATCAGGTAATGGATTCTACTTATTCTACGTATAAAAAGGATTATATATCCTTATTAATGTTATAAATTATCATCACCATCATATCAGCCGTTAACTGTCCACTGCTGGACATAGGCCTTCGCCATAGACTGCCATAAGGAACGGTCCCAAGCCACCTGCATCCACTAATAACATACAATGCATTTGAGATCGTAACTCCATCTATTGGGCAGTCTTACACTGCATTTGTCCGGCCAGAGTCGCCATTCAAAAGCATTTCTTCCCCATCAGTTATCGATTCTTCGAGCTATGTGGCCAGCCTATGCCATTTCAGCTTGCTTATTCTTCTGGCTATGTTAGTCACAACTTTGATTCTTCGGATGGATATTATCGTTTCGGATTCTGACACGCAAAGAAACTCCGAGTATAGATAGCTCTTTGAGTAACTCGAAGATATTCCATGACCCCCCCCCCCCTTTGACTATACTTATCCTGATCTAGGTTTAAACATTTAAAATAATGGCAATGCCAACTCTTAAATATCTTCGGTCACAATCCGTTATACAAGTGGAAATACAAAGGGAGGCAGTCTCTCCTTAGACTTAAAGGCTCAATACAGCCTGTGAGCTTAGGATCATAGACTATTCTTATAGCTCGTTTTTGAACCGAGTCAAGAGCACCAAGCTGGTATACAGGAGCTCGTCATTGAACGGCATCAAGAGGACCAAGCTGGTATCCAGGAGTTTGAGCCCACAAGTAACTACTCCATAAGATGCCGGACTTGCGACTTGTACAGCAATAGTTTTTCCCTCAGGGTAAAGTACAGTTTCGCTCTATTGAGCATCCTGTGATTTTGGAATGCCAGCTTGATCCTATCTTCGAGATGTCTTTTGGGTTGTGTTCTATTATCTATATATTTTATATGTCATTTTCTCAAATTCTGAACCGATTTTAATTATTCATTGTTAATGTTTTTGCTCGGGCACCTCTGTCTTATTCGTGTTTCAACCGTGAAGCAGTTGTGTCTGCATGGCTGTGTTTCGGTTTGAAGGGTGGGATATGGCGTGAATTTACTGGGTACAGAGGAATAACACCTGAGTCCTCAGGAATGGCAACGCATGGGGGTCCCCGCCATAATATACTGATAGCGCAGACGGGGTTACCATGCCATTTTCACGCATTAAAAAAACGCATGGGGGTATCATGGGCGAAACAGAATACTCTGTTCATGGTACTGCTTATGAGTATAGGCGACGGTTACCACTTTCCACCAGATGGACCGTCAGCTTGTTTGCCATTCTAAATTGCATAAAAAAATGTAACCTTTACTAGCTATATATATATTTTTTTATAACACAGCGATTAAACGGGCATACGGCTCACCTGATGGTAAGTGACTACCGCCGCCCATAATCACCAGCAACAGCAGAGGCATTGCAGGTGTGTAATTTTCTAACTCTATTTCTGTCGAAATTAATTTTTAGTTTTTTAGGAAACAAAATCATAAATTCGAAAATGTTCTTCTTTTTAAATTAACTTAAAAATACACTTATAAGTGTACCCGAACCTCCTTTTGAATGATCTGAACTTTACATACATTTCATACAAATTACATTAAATCGGTACTAATGCTAATACGTAAACGGTTAAATTCAAAACTCCGACCGTAACTCCCCACAATGATAACCACAATTTACCACAGAACTGCGATGGCATTTGACTTGTCTCAACTGGATATTTATTAGTACTACATCACTAGAATTTGTTATATACATTGATAAGACGAAGATAGATGACGCGTGCACTTGGATTTATTTAAAATTTAGCATTTAGCCTGCTACTTCGTACACATGGTTTATAAAAGCAGGAAAGTCGAAATAGTATACTTTATTATGTCCATGGTACTGTTCATGTTTATAAGCGATATATTATTAGAGGTTTTTCTTTGCGGAGTGAAAATCTGTTTGGTGCATCAGTTATAAAAACGCGATATCACGTTCCAAATTCAAATGTAATATATATGTGTAATGTATCTACTAAATATTCAAACGATATGTTTGAATATTTAGTAGGTACATTACATTTGAATTTGGAACGTGAGTGTGTGTGTACGTGCGTGCGTGCGTGCGTGCGTGCGTGCGTGCGTGCGTGCGTGCGTGCGCTCGAGAGTGCATGCGTGTGTGCGTGAGTACGTGCATGTGTGCGTGCGTGCGTGCATGTGTGTGTGTGTGTATTTATGTATGTGGAATTGCGTTTATATGTTCAGATTTCGTTTTTTTTGCAAAACAAAATAGTGATTTACTATTTAAATAAATTAACACGTCAAGTAGACAGAATTGCGTCATCTACAAATTAGATCTATGGTTATTTTAATGTCATCAATAATATAAATCGTCACTGAAACTGCGTTGCAATAAGTAAATGCATCGCTTATGTATATTGAGGCATCGGCCTACCGATTACACTTTTATACGACTTGAAATGCTGCTAATCTTATGTATATATAATAAATGCGAAAATGAACAGTAATTGATGGATTTCTGTTAACTTTTCACACAAATACTACTGAATGGATTTTAATATAATTTGGTACCTATACATTTTTTGTCTTATTCCTTTTCTGTTATGCTTTGCTAAACAAAATGAATTAGAAATTTTAAATTAAATTTTATTTAAATTAAAATTTTAAAGTGTTAAATATGTTATTTTTATTTAGTTCTATACAGGCAAAGCCAAAGGATACAACTAAATTTCGTATAGAAATAAATTAGATGAACCTGTATACGCCTTCTGATATCAAAATTACACTTCGCTACAACAGCATTCTTTATTTTAACAGGCGTTCAATAAAAATAAAATTCTACCTATTTATTCTTTAATTGTTTCCACCAAAAGGTGGTCTGGAAGAGATTGCTTAGCAACAAGACCGCCTTTTGTACTACACTATACGTATTGAAAATTGTTCAACAAATCCTGTTATGTGCACATGGTGCAATAAAGTGTTAAATAAATGAATAAATAAATTTATTTTTACCGCTTCTCAAAAGATGAAAATGGATTTATTGACGATATTACTGATGATATATTACCCTTGGAAGTCATCGTCAATAATTGTTTTTTTTTATGTTACTTAGAATGGCAAACAAGCTGACGGCCCACCTGATGGAAAGTGGTAACCGTCGCCTATACACATGAGCAGTACCATGGACATAACAGAGTATACTGTTTTGCCCATGATACCCCCCATGCGTTGGCATTTCTGAGGACTCGGGTATTTTTCTTCTGTACCCAGTGAATTCACGCCATATCCCACCCTTCAAACCGAAACACAGCCATGCAAACACAACTGCTTCACGGTTGAAACATGAATAGGACAGAGGTACCCAAGCAATCGACTTTTGTACAAAGTCTCTCTCTGGTATTCCAGGTCAATCTGTCATGAAACTGATACAGATAGCGCAAAGGATTGTTAGGATTGGGGATCTAACAGCCCCATTGTCAGTAACCCTATCAGGTCAACCTCCATGCGGTTCCTCCTGTAAACCGTCCTAGTTAATTTTTCATAAATTCGTCACTATGGGCCAACTGACCTGCTTTTATTTCTCAGTGGTGCCCCGCCAGCGTATACCGATAACACAGACGGGGTTACCATTCCATTATCATTCATAAAATTAAAAAAAAAATGATACTGCTGATTTGAGAAATGTGATCTTTTTGACCTCTCTCTCTCTCTTTGAAAATAAATAAAATAAACCTTCACTGTATAATAAAACATTTATTAATCGATCACAGAAGACCTGTTCAATAAAACTTAATAATAATTAAGTACAAAAACAAATAAATAACTAATAATAATACATAAATGCACTGTACATTAAATTAAAATTATTCAGAACATTTCCAACTTATAATAAAAATAAATATTTAACTAACCTTTTACAAAATGTTACAGTTTTCATTTACATTTACATTCATTTCAAAATCCATCATGGCGTGTAGGTAGTTATATTAAAAATTAATAATATATTATGATGCTGAAAGTGAAATGTAAATCTTAAAAAAAAAAATCTATAATACATGTCTGTATGTCAGCAAAACAATAGTGAATTTACTATGTTAGTAAAACTAATAGATGAATCGAATTTGTCAGCTTATGGTTTCTAACAATAATGAAGAGTTTTAGCTTTTATTTGGCACATATAATATGTTTTTTCATAGTTACAAATTACAAGTATACCTACATTTATATCGTTACATATTACTACATAATTTCATTGTAAATTACTGTCATAGTTCAATAAAATAATAATAATAATTAAATCATTTTAGTTCAAACATTAATTACATATAAACATGTTTTATTTTTATTATATTGTGTCATATTACAAGAAATTTAAATGACATTTTGCAATTTAAATAAATAACACAATTGCTTTTAAGCATAACATTAATTTAATTTTGTTACAATATTTAATAACAATCAAAAGATTTAGATATTTATTACATAAAATGTCATTTAATATAACAAATTTATGTATATAATTTTCATTGAAATTATGTAGTGTAATTTGTAACATTTATAATTTAATAAAATAAAACAATTACTTTTATGCGAAACATTAATTACGTATAAACACGATTTAATTCAAAAGTTATATTTAACAGCATTATGTCAAAAAATGTAGAGATCATTGCAAGAATTTGACATTCTTGTAGTGTAATAAATAATGATAAAATATTATTAAAAATAAATTTGCAATTAGCAATAACACTGTGTACTCATTGCTTCATATTAACGTAATGTCACGAATGTAATGAAATGCAATACAATGTAACATACCTATTATTTCTATAATAGCAATTATTAATTAATATTATAGAAATATTAAAGTTTACTTAAATTATATTAAAAAATAAAGAAAATAAGTCTTAAATATAATACAAAAGTTTTCTGTCATCATACATCATAAATACACTTATGTATGTACGCAAGAATAAAAAGTACACTCACAAATATGTATGTAATACTTAAGTTGGATATAACTTAAGTACTTAACACATTATATCACATGTGTACAGGTTTTAATTGTTTGTAAAGTTTATAACTTAAAATCTAGCAATAAGTTAAGTAGATGTTAAGTTAAATATACACTTAAATAGGAACATCAATCTGCTATCGGCGGGTAACTTGTTTGGTCGAATTTTGTGCAGTCACTGAAAGAATGAAAGAAATCCTATTATAATTATTTGATTAATAATTTAATTTTAAGTTATTTTAAATAAAGAATAAATGGAATATTGAGAGTTTAACCCTGGATAGGAAATTGTTCTTCTAAAAGTAAATTGGACTAGGAAAACGTAGTAATAATAACAAAAATAACTGTCGTGAGTTATACTATTATAACTGTCGTGAGTAAACTATTATAACTATTTATATCGGCTTTATTTACGTTTCAAATTCGAGGATATCTAACACAGTGTTATTCAGTTCGTAACTAGGCGGGAATCCCCGAATTTGAAATCTGAACAAAGCTAATATAAACAAATATAATAATATACAAAGTTTTCTAATGGGATTATTCATTTATTTATTTTTAATTGCACAATATAATTTGTGCAAATGGCTAGCACGATATTAAGTCGTGTGGCATTCTCTACTAGCTAACCATTAAATAAAAACAAAAAGCGTTTGAGGACAATGGTAACGGCGACGAGACAAAAAAAGACAAAAAAGCGTGATGAAAAGTATACTATAACCTGCCCAGGAGTATGAAGAATAATTGTACCAAGTTTCGTTAAAATCCGTCCAGTAATTTTTGTTTCTATAACTAACATACAGACAGACAGACAAAAATTTTAATGATTACATTTTTGGCATCAGTATCGATCACTAATCATCGCCTGATAGTTATTTTGGAAATATATTTCATGTACAGAATTGACCTCTCTACAGATTTATTATAAGTATAGATTATATATTATATTTAAACTTTATTATATTTATACCATATTATATTTATATTATAGTACACTTGTTATTTACCTGTTCAAGGTTTGACTGGGTACACAAACGTGGACGCAGCGACTTTTCCATACATATTCTTGGCCGTACAAGTAAAGTTACCCATGTCCCTCCATTCTAGCACGCTTATCAAGAGATCGCCTGATGGTAATACCTGGAAATGACAAAGATACCATTCGTGAGGCCGCAATCTTCGTCTTAGACCACATCATCGCTTTCCATCGTGATCAATCGCGGCATCTCTCAAAAGTAAAAACAAATCGTCATCATGATTATCATGTCAGTTAGTAACTGTCCATTGCTGGATATAGGTTTCCCCCATGAAGAGGGTGTTGCCAGCTGTTATCATGTTTGGCAGGCGGGTCGGCGACCGCAGTTAGATTTTGGTGATATTGTAAGAGAGTTGCCTAGACTGTTAAGTTCCCTTAGTTGACACTTACGACACCCACGGGAAAGAAAGGGGTGGTCCAATCTATGCCGGGACCACATGGCTATTATTGTACAAGATGGAAGTAAAATGCTATTTGCATTTTTTCCTTAGAGAATGTTTTTACCAGTGCAATTAAATGATATTTTACGTTAGTTAAGTACTCTAGTGCGAGAATTTACCAGAGGTAGACTTTGTACAAAAGTCATTTGCTTGGGCACCTCAGTCCCATTCGTGTTTCGACCGTGAAGCAGTCGTGTTTGCATGGCTGTGTTTAGGTTTGAACGGTGGGATATAGCAGTGAATTTACAGGGTACAGAGAATAACACCTGAGTCCTCAGGAATGGCAAAGCATGGGGGATATCATGGGCAAAACAGTACACTCTGTTATGTCCATGATACTGGTCATGTATAGACATGAGCAGTATCATTGCCGTCACCTATAGAGACGGTTACCACTTTCCATCAGGTGGGCCGTCAGCTTGTTTGCCATTCTAAGTGGCATAAAAAATAATAGAAAAAAATGCACTCACTTGCATCCTAGAGTTTCCATAAATCAGTTTATCGTCATTGTCCATCCAGTATATTTGGGCGGGGCTGAAACTGGATACTCGGCAGGGCAACACGACGGTGGTGCCCTGGTTCTGGAAGATGGTGTCGTAGTAGTAAATGATGACGGGCACCGAGGGTCTGAACAGCGCTCGCAATGGATCTTGGGCTAGAAATGATGCCGAAAGAACAATCAGTATATATACTAGTAGTTTAACAGAGGGAAACTTTGTACAAAAGTCGATAGCTTGGGTACCTCTGTCCTATTCATTTCCCCCAAATGGGAGACAGGCGTGACGTATGTATGTATGTATTCATACACAACCATGCTCTCATTGCTACAAAGCTGCTTACGGGAAGAAATACGAATGGGAAAAAGGTATCTATTATTTTATCAGCCATTAACTGTCCACTGCTGAACTTAGCGTCCCCCATAAGGGGAGTTTTGCTAATAGTTGCCACGTTTGGCAGGCAAGTTAGCAACCGCAGTTTGGCTTTTATTGATATTTTAAGAAGGACGCTGCTGCCCATTCTTCGCCCTCCTTTAGTCGCCTCATACGCCATCCACGGGAAAGGAAGGAGTGGCCTATTCTATGCCGGGACCACATTGGAATTTTTACACATTATGCCAGGACCTATACGGAAAAGGTATCCATGTTGAGGACAATTTCCAGTGTGCCTCACCTTCAGTGGTATACACGATGGTGGTAGCGATCTTCTGCTTGACACCAGTGCTGGCGACGCACGTGTACTCGTCACCGTTGGATGCCGTCGCCACCACCAGCTTGGTCACCAGTTGCACGATACTCGACGGGTGGATGTTCAGTATCTCGTTAGCCGATTCCTCGTACTGTAATTAAGATGGCATAAGATTTATATTTGTAAATTCCAGTCACATACAAGGGTAAGTCGTGTGATCTATGGGAGACATGGGATACGAGGTGGGTAACCTTAAAAGATAAAAGGAAATTAATAAATAGAAGAGTAATGTAGTACATATATTATACACACACACACATACACCCCCCCCCACACACACACGCAGGCACGCACGCGCACACGCGAACGCTCACGCGCGCGCACACGCACACACACACACACGCGCGCGCGCGCGCGCGCGTACAACACACATGTACACACACATACATATACATGTATAAACGCTGAGATACATAAAAAAAAACATTTAAACTTAAAACGCCCAATCACTGTATATATGTCGCTGCACAAGAGGGAGGCTCGCTTCGCTCAATTCATTTACATTTAACGAACGACAGGATTTGATAGAAATTTAAACTTACATCAGGTAAAGTTTCTCCATTCTTCAGCCATTGTATAGTGGGCGCAGGGTGTCCGGCCACTACGCAGCTGAGCTCCAGCGGGGTTCCCGGAATCAAACTGACGCTCTCCGGCGGCGCTGATAGCATTTTAACAAACGAACCTAGTCGCCGTCTCGGTGTTGGCGCCACTGAAATAAAACTTCCTGATTAATTTCCTGACAGAGTCCTGATGGCAAAATTATGCTTAAATAAGCCGTATGCTCCCGGCATAGAGTAACCTTTCCCGTGGATGTCGTAAAAATGGATAAGAGAACTTTTTTTAATGGGTGAAAATGGAATGATAACCCCACCCGCGCTATTAGTTTACACCGGCGGGGCACCAGTAAGGGATGATAGATGAGGATGAAGCAGGTCAGTTAGCCCATCGTGACGAATTCCACAAGAACTGGGTACAGAGGAATAAAACCCGAATCTTTAGGAATGGCAACGCATGGGGGGGTATCATGGGCGTAACAGTACACTCTGTTATGTCCATGGTACTGCTCATGTCTATAGGCGACGGTTACCACTTTCCATCAGGTGGGCCGTCAGCTTGTTTGCCATTCTAAGTTGTATAAAAAAAAATTATTAAATATAGTCTATAAGAGAAAATTGTAAAATTTCATCTCTGGACGTGGTCATTGTTACATTTAATCAAAAAATTGTATCAAATTCAATCGACATTCAAATATTCATGCGCCATCTTGAATAAGTCAGGAGCTATTGAATTTCATGACTTCCTTGTCGCTTCTGTCACACAATACACGACACATACATACATGTAAATACACATTTTTGTCACATGAAAATAAATTTAGGATTTCTGTTTTTTAACATGTCAATCCTATAATATCTGGATTATATTTTAAATCGATCAAGTTCACTTACTAATTCAAGTACAAGGCAATTTTGAATGGTAAGATCATGCATTGTGATCTGAATGTAAAGATATTTGTTAGTTAAACAAGTGTAAATGGTTTTTTTTTTATTGATGATAATGGAATGGTAACCCTGCCTGTGCTAACGGTATACACTGACAGAGCACCAGTGAGGGGTGATAGGTGAGAATGAAGACAGGTTAGTTAGCGCATCGTGATGAATACACCAGGAATTCAATACGATGGTTTCCAAGGGAGACCACGTGGAGATCGATTTTATGTGGCATATTGCTAGCAATGGGACTGATAGTCCGCATTATTAACAATTTATTTATTTATTTATTTAACACTTTATTGCACCAACATTACAGGATTTGTTGAACAATTTTCAATAAGCATAGTGTAGTACAAAAGGCGGTCTTATTGCTAAGCAATCTCTTCCAGACGACCTTCAACCAACAATCTCTTCCCCCCCCCCCCCCCCCCCCCATTGATAATGATCAGTTAACCTGTTACGACGCTATGAGAATAACAAATAAAACACCTACCGTTTGGTTTTAAACGGTTGTCCAAATCATTTTTGCTATTGATGATCGCTGCTCCTACAAAACAGCACTGTAGCGACACTAGCGCCGCGGTGAGTAGCAAAACTAAGTTGATCATTGTAGCTATCCGATAGTAGATGTCTCTAGTTGAATGTAAAAAGCTCGATCTGAAACGAAAAGTTTATATTGATATTAAACTCTTAACGAATTCCAAGCCATACATAAATAAGTTTTGTATTCTCACAGTTGTATTTTTGTGTGTTTTTTAAGAAACATGTATGACTTTATTTTAAAGACTTTTATTTTTTAATTAAATACCATATTTTTATGGTAATTTGTAATATCGTCATAGTCGTAGAATACTGACGGATCTGACAAATATATATATATATATATCCGTCAGTATTCTACGACTATGACGATATGTGAATCCTTACTATAAATAAATTGTAACTTATATTTTTCAATTATAAACATATCTACTAACTATTTAAATTGTGCGGTTTTGTTCGCGTAAATTGTACTAAACAGTATTTTTTGTGTTAACTCGAATAGTCTACTTGTGCACCAAATTATGTTCAAACAGCATGATGCAAAATGATCGCCAGTTCGGGGGCCGACCACATACTCTTTTGTTGCAGTATCCGGCCGTAGTACCTTCCTAATGCTCCTAAAACATTGCGTCTAAACTGCGCCCACCATGTACCCTCTTGTATAGGCATTCCGTCACCCGTATCCTATAGCGAGGACGGGATGCTTTAAATACTGTACCGCAAACCATAAAAAAAGGGGAAAGGAATTGTTAGCAATGAAGTTTGACAGCCCCATTGCTAGCAATATACCTTATTAGGTCGACCTCCACGTGGTTCCCCCTGGAAACTATCGTGAACAATTCTTGTTGAATTCGTCACGATGGGCTAACTGACCTACTTCACCCTCGCCTATCATCCTTCACTGGTGCCCCGCCGGTGTATACCGATAGCGCGGGTGGGGTTTTTTCAATTTGTATGTAACTTTAACAGACAATGGGAATAAAAGACACGTTTTTTTTAAGCAATAGAGTCCAGTCTGTAGCTTCATTCTCTAAACATACAAATAAATAAATTTTTAATATATTTTAGTCAAATTATCAGAAATTTTGCTCGTATTGATCCTTGAAATATATATTTTCATGTTACATCAAATTTAAATTAATTTTTTAGAAATACATGTATTTAGAGAAAGGACTCGTCAAAATTATGCCTAATGCCTTTTTGTATTGCTGCAGATCACACATAATAACACAATTTTATAAATCTTATGTTGTTTTATGTATTATCTATTCTTATATACATGTTGTGTGTGATTAGTAACAAACAAATAAACGATATATCTATCTATCTATCTATAATGAATACGCTACTGTTATAAGTACTATACGTCACGCTTGTCCCCAATTGGGGTAGGCAGAAACAAAACGTAAAATCGTCATTAACGTTTCAGTCATTACCCGTCCACTGCTGGACATAATCCTACCCCATAGACCTTGAGAGAAAGGGATTGTTAGCAATGGAGTTTGACAGCCCCATTGTTAGCAATATGCCCTATTAGGCGGGTGTGGTTACCATTCCATTATCACCCATTAAAAAAAACCCCATAGACTGCCATAAAAAACGGTCCTGAGCCACCTGCATCCACTGACTCCCTGTAATGCCTTTCAGGTTATCACTCCGTCTAGCAGGGGGGGGGTCCTACACTGCGTTTGCCCGTACGGGGTCGCCACTCAGTAACCTTTCATCCTATCAAGTCATACTCTATCAGGTCGACCTCCACGCAGTCCCCCCGGAAACCATCGTGGTTAATTCTTATTCTTGTCGTCACGATGGGCTATCTGACCTGCTTTCATCCTCACTTATCATCCCTCACTGGTGCCCCGCCAGCGTATACTGTTAGTGCAGACGGGGTTACCATTCCATTATCATCCATAAAAGAAATCTAGTCATACACGCTCGTCGGTTACGGGTACCTACTTTTAATTTAATTTAGTTTTACACTATTACAAACAAGCCGCTACTGTTACATTGTAAACGCTTTTGCCCCACCACTTTGTACGTGTGAATTTCAAAAATGGGAAAATCAATTAAATAAATCACATCTAGATGGCGCACCTAGATGAAAGAGGGAGACTTTGTACAAAAGTCGATTGCTTGGGCACCTCGGTCCCATTCGTGTTTCTACCGTGAAGCAGTTGTGTTTGCATGGCTGTGTTTCGGTTTGAAGGGTGGGATATGGCGTGAATTTACAGAGTACAGAGGAAACTGAGTCCTCAGGAATGGCAACGCATGGGGGGTATCGTGGGCGAAACAGTATACTCTATTATGTCCATGGTACTGCTCATGTCTATAGGCGACGGGTACCACTTTCCATCAGGTGGGCCGTCAGCTTGTTTGCCATTCTAAGTTGTATCAAAAAAAAGCATACACCAGTTTTTAAATTAAGAACACGACACGAACCAACAGTAAAATATCAATAATACAACAGTGAAAATCACATCCAATTATGTACAATAGATTTTGCCTTATGCCAGAACAAACAAAATTACGAGAAATTTTTGCTTTAGAATTTATTCCATTTTTAAAACGACCCTCATATATTTAAATTTTATATTTTAAAATTTTAAATGTATAGGCGCATCCAATTATGTAGGTACAATAGTTTTTGCCTTATGCCAGAACAAACAAAATTACGAGAAGTTATTGCTTTAGGGTTTATTCCATTTTTAAAACGACCCTCATATATTTTTTTTCTTAAATATCTTAAATTTACAGGTATCGTTTTATTACAATTTTATTATATTATATCGCTAGCTTTTAGCCGCGACTTCGTCTGGATTATTCGGATTATTAATATATTTGTATATATATATATTTATAGTACTTCTAATACAAATGCGCTCAAACATTATATGTCTACATTAAGCTTTATATATATATATATATATATATATATATATATATATATATATATATATATATATATATATTTACTGACGGGAATTGAAATAACCTAGAATCTTCTCCATCCCATATATTATGTGCATACCAAATTCCATAATGATTAATGTTAAGCTGTTAAGACGATATAAGGTAACAAACAAACAAACTCACTTTCACATTTATAATATAAGTAAGGATAATAAAATCTTATCTTAATTAAGATCTTATCTTAATTAAAATATAGCCATGTGGTCCCGCCATACAATAGGCCACCACTTCCTTTCCCGTGGGTGTTGTAAGGGTCGACTAAGGGAGGGCGAGAGGTGGACAAGCAGCATCCCTGTTAACCTTTCTTTGCATGATTTTTTTATTGGTGAAATAAATCAAGGTAATATAAATTCATGTTCAAAATTAAAAGAAACATGGTTAAAAAAATAAATGTGACACCTATGTTTTTTTTCTGCAATGAACATTAAAAAGGTATCCAGACACGATCAACTTAAAGTGAACTTGTCCTTTTATAAAATTGAGCATTCAATGTTATGGTGGAAATGGTGTAACATTATGCAAAGAAGGAGAAGAAGCCACAATTCGCCTGCTAAGCGTGGCAACTACTGGCAAAACCCCCCAAGGGGAGGCTTATATTCAACAGTGGACAGTTAAAGTTAAGATAATTTAAATATAATATACACGATGCATTATCATTAATATGGGACGCGCCCAATAAGAGAAATCATGATCAAGCAGACAGCAGAAAACGTAATAGGCGTTCTTAGTACAGAAGATACAGTTCTTGGAAAACAAGTCCAGACAGGTCATAATGGCGCCTACTATACGGTTTTGTTGCCAACTGATTATTGTATATTATTACATTTATTTAAACACGTGCACGTAATCTTGTTTGATCGGCCGCTAAACATATGTATTTAGAAGCTACGGTGGGCCGGTGGGCTGGTTATATAACCACATTATAAGGCAGGAGTTCCTAAACTTTTTACATCACGGAACGAATCAAAAACATTGCAATTTAAATAAAAATAAAAGCTTTTATTAGAAATGTTTTTAAAGTATAACACTTTATAGTTTCTTTTAATTATATAATTAAAAGAAACTATAAAATACTATAAAGCTATAAAAATATAATTAAACATATTTTTGGGGGAACTTGGTGACTTTTTTACGGAACGCCAAGGGTCAGCGGAACCCACTTTAGGGATCGCTGGTGTAAGGAATAATCAGTTTTTTATGCAAATTAAAATGGCACAAAATACATAAAATATAAAGTGATAACTGTCGCCTATACACATGAGCAGTACCATGGGCAGAGTATACTGTTTCACTCATGATTCCCCCCATGCGTTGATATTCCTGAGGACTCAGGTGTTATTCCTCTGTACCCGTAAATTCACTGCCATATCTCACCCTTCAAACTGAAACACAGCCATGCAAACACAACTGCTTCACGGTTGAAACACGAATGGGACAAAGGTATCCAAGCAAATGACTTTTGTACAAAGTTTCCCTCTGGTGTTCTGAAAGCTTCACCAATTCCGGAATGGTTCTATGACAATTCGGGACGTACTGTTATATTAACCGATCCGTTGAATGACTAATCTCTAATGGGAGATTTTGTACGGAAGCCATATGCGTGGGTACCTCTGTCCCACTCGTATGTGACTAGAGAAGTTAAAATATAACCCTATTCGTGTACCAAATTTCATTTAAAACCGTTCAATAGTTTTTGCGTATAAGTTTAACAAACATACATACATCTAAACATTCTCATAGACTTTTACAATTATAATAGTGGTTAGATCATTATAAATATTATATACTTTTATGTAAATACTAGCTTTTACTCGCAGCTTTGTCTGCTTAATCGAAATATTTTACATAATAAAAACTATGTTCTTCATCTCAGCTGTAACATATTATACTACATTTCATAACAAATTGGTTGAGCTGTTAAAGGATTTATATATAAATCTATTTATTTATAAATCAACACTTTCTTTACATTTACAATAATACTAGTTTTTACCCGCGACTTTGCGTGACCGATATATGTCCATCGATTGAGATAAAAGTAGCCTATATGTTAAATATAACTACGGTAAATGTATACATAAGTTCATAATGATTGGTTAAGCCATTAAGGAGTTATAAGGTGACAAATAAACACATTTTCACATTTGTAACACTCATAATGTATGTAAGAATTATGAAGTAAATATCTACGTCTGTGATGGGGTTTCATCGTGTCATTGAAATTGAAATAAAAAAAGAAAGAAACATTAATTTACAAAATTAACGACAACATCCACAAAAGAGTAAAAAAATTTACTAAAACTTATAATAAAAAAACTATAAAATAATACGTAGCCAAAAACATGCATTTTTTTTAATGCAACTTAGAATGGCAAACAAGCTGACAGCCCACCTGATGGAAAGTGGTAACCGTCGCCTATAGACATGAGCAGTAGCATGGACATAATAAAGTATACTTTTTCGCCCATGATACCCCCCATGCGTTGCCATTCCTTAGGACTCAGGTGTTATTCCTCTGTACCCTGTAAATTCACTGCCATATCTCACCCTTCAAATTGAAAAACACAGCCATGCAAATACAACTGCTTCACGGTAGAAACACGAATGGGACAAAGGTGTCCAAGCAAACGACTTTTGTACAAAGTCTCCCACTGGTATTATTATTATTAAAGATGCTTATCTTACTGTGACATTGTAGAATTTAAATTCATGTTTCACAACGCGTCGATTATGTCGTGTGACGCTGCTCATACATACAATACACATCGCACGATCAATTGCCATCAAATCACCATTGTAACCCTTCGTCTTGATTAACTGATTTATCTCGTCAAATATTTTATGCCAAGAGCTTTAATTAATAAATGTATAAAACAATATAAAACATCCTTTTTACAACGTGACCGAATACCTAAATGCCAATATTGAATTATAGCATTATTATTTATTTAGGTTTAACTGTAACAGAAGTGTGACAATAAAAATTTTATAACTTGAAATCATCATCATTGTTATATAGTTACCATTATACTGACATGTAGTAACTAATTTATAATGTTAACTATAATTTATTTGTAATTTTATTTTTATTTTACAATTCAAATCTTATTGTTATTATATGTTTTATTAATTTCAAAATTAGAATGTAAATATTGACTTGCCATTGTGTGACGAAAACTGTTTCATTGGTTAATAAAGAAATATGAAATATGAAACATTTATTTAAAAACATTTAAAATTAATGTTCGAAATAATTGTTCAATTAATTTAATGTTTTATTTTTTTTATAGAAATTATTAACTATGTAGGTAAATAAATAAAATAAGATAAGATTTCGTATATTGTAACACTTGTAAAAGTAGACTGTAATTTAGTACATTATAATATTATTTAAATATATAAAACCATAAAAGAAAAACTAAAGACTAACTTAAGAAATTGTATGAATTCCCAATAAGAATTATTCTTATTTGACTGTTAATAGACCTAGAGATTATCATAAACTAACACATAATTATGACATTTTTTCCTTCTAATTCACGCCGGTAAATCAACGGTAAATTACTTGTATAACGTAACTTTATTATTGACGAAGTTTTAATATCAAACTCAATGCAAAAATTGTAAGATACAATATCTTCATACATCTAATAATATAAATAAATGCCCACCGTAGTTACTTTGGTTTTTAATTTAAATGTTATTAAATGAAATATTACTAAAAGATTTTTAATTAACTAAATATTTTTAAATAAAATTAAAAGAATATATAAAAAAATAAATGTTATCTTTTAATGTTAAAATCAACTTTTAAATATGTTTGCAAGATTTATTACCTACATATACATATAACTATAGCAATAGATTACATATAAAATACTGTTTTTGATCATCTAAACTAAATAATAAACTTTCGTCAAATAAACTAGAAACTTTTAACACATTGTAATAAATACTATCACTTTAATTAATGAAATATCACATCGTATGTTACATACCTTATTTAGATAAACTTTTCAACAACAAAAAAATCACACAGAACTATAACACAACACTAGATTTAGTACATTAGACTGGGTGATAGTGTTGGCCGGTGTTGGTATGGACGTTCGCTCCCGGCCGATCCTTTATATAGCGGATTGTACCGTGACACACAGCCATGGCGGACGTTTACGTGACTCGTGACAGGGTGTCTATTACTCCATCTATTTATGTATCACACTATAGGGGTGGGAAGATCTACTATTGTCGTTTCACAGTTTGTCTTTTGGTGTATTTATTTAATATTTTTGTAATACAATTTAATAATATAAAAGTAATAATTGAATCGACTATAAAACAATACTATAATGTTTAATAGTACATTATATTTATTTATTTATTTAACTCTTAGCACCAGAAATATAAAAAATAAACAATTCAAGTGAAATGCAATAGCATAAAATACAGGTTAAAATATATGCATAAAGGTACAAAAGGCGGTTTTATTGCTTATTATATAATACAAGTAACATTATAAAATTACATTATAAAATAAAAATTAGATTAAACGATTGAATGTTTTAATTTAGTTTAAATTAATTAGTTTAATTTAAAAAATTTATGTGTGCGTAAATTGACAACATAATTACTATTGAAATATTACCATCATTCCTTATCCCAATTTTTATTTGAGATCGATGTTTCGAATTCTATTGAAATAAATTTGCTCGAGCGATAGATAGGACAGAAGTTTGTATTTTCTTTTTATAGAATTACGTTATTGCGTACGTATCTACATTTGCGGATTAGTATTTTTATATCTTATGTCATAATTTTATCCAATATTTTTAATTATTTCAATTATCAACCGGTTTTCTTTTTTAGGCGTGTGTTATCAAAGCTTTTCTCAAGGCCTCAAACAGGGAACCGGTTGAAAAATAAATTTACTTGATTTATCAAATATATTTTGTGTAAAAATAAGTATGGCATACATAGCAACTGTCGTTTCAAATATCCATAACATCGACATAAAGAGACGTAAAGTCTTTTTTTAAATAACAAATTGCGAATAAGACAAGACACTAAGAAAGTATAATAATACTATTTGTCATTCTACATGTGATTTCTTAAGGAATCATAAAAATTCAATAAGTCTGTTCAAATGAAGATAATTTCTAGTTTATTCCAGTGACCGAAAAATTGACAATTTTAAACCCATTAATGTTCTATTAATGACGAAACACGTTATCATGTTTAATTAACCCTAATGATGCAATATTCACATCTGTTTTGTTAGCTGCAGCGTATTTCGCTGAAATATCACCGTCACAGTAACAGTCGATTAATATCTCCGACTACCTCCTTTGGAATTTAAAATTGACGAAGGTTTTCAAACAATATAAAAAGGGGAGGTTCCCGTTCCAACTATTTTTGTATAAATTGATATATTCAATAATAAGTTTTGTTTTTATTATTATTAAAACGATATTGATTATGATGCGTTCCTCTTATCACAACTAGTAGGTGCACGGAGCTCTTGGAATGGATATTAATTTATGACGCTCCTGTGTATTCCAGGTCTTCCCAGCTGGGACCGGTTGATACAGCCTCTTTCCCGACGCATCTCTTCCACGCTGTTCTAGTGCAGCCGAGTCTAAACCAACGACTTGATAGGTCACTTATAATGAAATATTTCAACGTATCTGTTGAATATAATTAATTAATTTGACAATATAAATTCCTCTTAATATTACGAGATATATTATTCACATTTTTTGACATATCGTTTAGCTATTAAATTATATTTATCACATACTATAGCCGTGTAGGCCCCGGCATAGAATAGGCCACTGCTTCCTTTTCCGTGGATCTCGTAAGAGGCGACTAATGCAGATTATGGTAAAGAGATAGGCAGCAGCGTCCTTCTTAAAACATCACTAAAAGCCAAACTGCGGTTGCCAACTCGCCTCAATTACTGGCAACTATTAGCAACTACTGACAAACCCTCCCCCCCCCTTATTGAAGAGGCACTGTTCAGCAGGGGACAGTTACCGACTAATACAATAACATACTATAAAAAGTAATTATTGAGACAGGACGGAATAGATTAAATAATAAATTATTGTACAAAACAAAACAACAAATGTTGGCAACATTATGTACCTTTTTAAACTGCCTGGTATTCTGATATATTTATTCTACTAAATTCATATACCCACTTGTTTCTATTATTATCCTTCATGTGATTGCACGAGAAATAAAAACAAGTATAAAATTGACTAGTTTGGAAATACCCTAAATGGCGTAATCGGTCAGGTATGTTTTTTTTATACAAGCATATAACGGCAAACAAGCTGACGGCCCACCTGATGGAAAGTGCTAACCATCGCCTATAGACATGAGCAGTACCATGGACATAACAGAGTATACTGTTTCGCCCATGATTCCCCCCATTCCTGAGGACTCAGGTGTTATTCCTCTGTACCCAGTAAATTCACGCCATATCCCACCCTTCAAACTGAAACACAGCCATGCAAACACAACTGCTTCACGGTTGAAACACGAATGGGACAGAGGTACCCAAGCAATCGACTTTTGTACAAAGTCTCCCTCTGGTGGTATTTATTATAAAACCTTAAGAGTACAAGTGTTTTTCTAATATAATTAAGTTACTATATTTTTGTTACATATGTTATTAAATAATTTACTTTTCACTTATATTAATTTACTTTTTAATTTAGATGTTGGCGAGATATTAGCGTCTGTCTCGGCCGTGTGTCAGATCCGTTTTTCTAAGTAATTACTATTGCTAACCATTTGAAATTTGGCACAGCTGTACAAGTCTTTCGCCTTCATTTACTCTCACTGAAATAATCTCAGATATACTTTATTGGAATTAAATTAAGGCAAAATTAAGTTATTCATTTAGCAAGTGGCTCAGGACCCTTTTTTATGCATATAGGAATATCATACAAGATGACGCCCAATTTGATGGATAGTGGTAACCGTTGCTTATTGTCCTGACAGAGTGTATTGCTAGCAATGGTTCTCCTATTCCCCATTCTTAAGGAAAGGGTTTTTTTTTTATGAGTGAAAATGGTACGGTAGTCCCGCCTGTGCTAACGGGATACGCTGGCGGAGCACCAGTGCAGGGTGATAGATGAGAATGAAAACAGGCTAGTCAGCCCATCATGATGAATTCATCAGGAATTAATCATGATAGTTTCCAGAGGGAACCGCGAGGACGTCGACCTGGTTGGGTATATTGCTAGCAATGGGATTCTCAGTCTCCATTACTAACAATCCCTTTCCCCCCAAGGGAAGGGGGTTACCCTTCCCCCAAATTGAAAAGATTAAAATCCACTGCTCTTTACTTTTATACGAACTACCACTTTCCATCAGGTGGGCCGTCAGCTTGTTTGCCATTTTTAATTGCATAAAAAAAAATTACAAATATTAGATAGATTCTATACTAAATAGTTATAATTTAAAACATAATATTTTATACGTTTGTTAGTTAAGTCTCAAAATATATAAGTTTATTAAATATGATAGATTATTAAAAACGCTTCTTGCCGTGTGGTCCCGGCATAGAATGGACCACCCCTTCCTTTCTCATAATTGTCATAAAAGACGACTAAGTGTAGGCGAGGGATAGGCAGCAGGGCCCTTTTAAAACATCTGCAGAGCCTAACTGCGGTTGCCAATCCGCCTGCCAAGCGTGGCAACTACTGGCAAAACCTTCCAAGAGGGAGGCTTATATTTAGCAGTAGACAATTGAAGGCTGACATGATGATGATGATTAAAAATGCTTCTACAAAATAAGACCTATTATAATGTTAAAGTTTTCTTCAGTGATAAAAATCTGTAGTCCTGTCCTAATAGAATGTCTATATCTCTCGCTCCCATTACGATGCCTAAAAGGTACATATGTATCAATTTATTCTATATTTGACTATATAATATGAATTCATATGACAATAATATAATAAATATAGACAGATAGATACTCTTTATTGTTTCCTCCAAAAGATTACAATAGTAAACTTATTATAAATATAAACAATTACAAGAAATAATATCACAGTGAGAAAACAATGGGCGACCTTATCGCTAAGAGCGATCTCTTCCAGCCAACCTTTGGATGGAGAGGAGTAATTATAAATAGTTTCATTAAATATAATTTTGAATTACTAACGTTAAATAAAATATGTGTATTAATTTTAAGAATTCATTAAAAACTTTAATATTGAAACAAATCAATTTATACGTTTATTTATTTAATTAATTTAATTTATAAATTGCTTATTACCTATATGCATTAAAGAATTATTTAAACACTTTAATATTAAAACAAGTTTAAAGTCAGTTTATACATTTATATATTTTTTTTATTTTTATTTTTTTTTATTTATCTATTTAATTATTTAATTTATTTATAAATTGCTCACTACAATTACAGTTTCCCAAAACGTGTAGCGAGACATAGATACATTCGTGTGATTCCTTGACCGTTTTAGACTTGTGACACGTAATTTATCGTTTTGTTCTAAATAGGTACAGATAAGAGATTCGTCTGTTCTCTTATTGAGCGATTTTTTAACGAGCTTCTCAATTGGTCACCTTTTCAATCGACTTCTAAAATAAGGATGTTCCCAGTTTAGTTGTTTTTATTTTTATACATCTGTCATCTCATAACTACGTTAGTTGTGATCCGATTTGGATTTTCTTTTTTACCTGAAAGAATATTTTCAGATTGGTCTTATCAGTTTACAGTTTTTAAATTGAAGTAACTGGTTTTCTAATAATAGAAATGAGTTTTTTTTTAACACCATTTTTTTATTACAATACCTGAAAGAGACCTTTTACCATTGTTCTACGTGAGTACCGCTGTCCCACTCCTGTTTCTGCCATCAGACATCTATTTCTATAATGCTATGCGACAGTTACCACTTTTCATTAGATAGACAAACGTTTTATTTGCTATTACATATTTCTTACAAAAAAAAATCTATTTTATCCATCCAAGTAAGTTATTTTAGGCATACTAGGCATTTAAAGCTTACATAGACCAAAATAGTGTCACGCGGACCGCAAAGTACACACATTTGCTCTATCTATTTAAATTCATGTCTGT